CTAGATGTTGCTGGGGCCGCTGTGAGCCAATCATCAGCTGGCAGCTGGAAGTTTGCTGGCAGCTGGAAGTTTGCTGGGCCCCCTTTGGCTGTGGCTCTCAACACTTTTCTTTTTTACTTTCCCTCTTTTTTGTTTTCTTTCTCTTTGTCCTCTTCCATGATTTCTTTTTTCTCCTTCCTTCCTTTTCCCATTTCCTCCTTAATCTCCTTCTCTAGTTAGTAAATTAATTAATTAGAATGTTGATATTTAGTGAGCAGCTTCTAGGTAACTGGCCTTGGTTAAATTATTATATAATCTTGTATGATGGGAGTCCCATGTCAGGACAATATTCTATTGAAATTACCTGGAAAAGAGCTTCCAACTTATTTTAAATAGAAGTAAGTGTGAGGAAAATAAGCTATGCTTATAATAAGGCCACTCTTCTTATGCTTACTTATTTTGGTTGTTAACTATATGTAGTTAACACGGCTAAAGTTGACATTGAAGTCATATGAACTTTAACATTCTTAGCCTTGTCTGTTTGGCTGCTCTCTGTCATATAATGCATATAATATGCCAAGCTAATATAATTGTTAGTGTGGTTGACCTGATTCACTCTAGTGAGACTCATTTTGGAGTCTAAAGTCCTTTCCATGAGTGTTCTGACAGTTTTTTCTAGCTGTTGTAAAAGAGCTGTTTCTTCTTGGCCCCACTTCCATGTGAACTGGGAAAATCAAGTCCTGGCTCTGCACTCAAGTTAGCAGTGTCATTATGAACAAAGTTACTTAACCAATCTGTTAGATAGAGACTTTGAGAAATGATCTCATATGAAAATTTAGGATCAAAACAGCTTAATTTTTCAGAAGTTATACAGAAAGTTAGTGGAAAACTGAAATCCCTAATTTCTGATTCTGTACTTAGTAAAATATTATGCTGCCTTTCCTATCATAAATATATATATGAGGAGTGTCAAATGAGGTAAATGTTGGTTTGTCTTGATTGGCATAGAATATCACAAGATAAATAATTTTCACTTTTTATTGTCAGGAGGCATGTATGATCCTTTGCATTCTCATTTTTTGAGTCTAAGACCCCTAGAAGCAGAAATCAATTTTTGTCTGAACTTAAAGCCAAACCTATACATGAAGGATCTAAACATGGTAAGAAGTTGACATTGTTTGAAATTGGAAGTTCTTTCCATTTTTTCTTTAGGGTACAAAAGGATAAGTTTATTTTCTAATAAAAAGTATATGCTTTATGTTCAAACTAGGGCTTTATAACATAGATTTATTATAGGTAGTTTTCTTACTAGTTTCTTGGGGGACATATTAAACTTATTAATATTTATGTAAAAGAAGGTACTCAGTTTTGACTTTAGCATTTTTATCTTACTATGGCTTTTAACTTCAGACAATTGTTAGCTGACAAATTTTAAGGTTAATTAAGGAGTCAGAATTGCCTAGAATCAAACTTTGCTCTTATTTTGTGTGACCTTTGGCAATTTAAAAAATTTTTCTGAGCCTTAGTTTCTTTATTGTTAAAGTAGGTATTGAAATAGTGATTTTTATGTTAAAACTGGCTACAGGACCATGGACTCATTTACTTCTCACAATAACATAGTGACATGAATGAGGAAAGGAAGGCATGTAGGTAAAATTTAAATTCACTCTGAAGTCTAATTTTTGAGCATTATATGCTACTGCCTTTTTATTTCATAATTTGTTCTCAGGAGTGAGATCTGTTATGTGGAATGCTTAGTATAATTTTGGTTTTTAGATCCTTTTACATTTTGGAATTGTGAATAAGGCTTTTACAGACCTAAAAACTAATGAAGGGAGATTTATAAATATATAGATTGCTCCTGGTTCTAAACAGTTTTGGCAGCTTGTTAAAAATGAAGGACTCACAGGCCCTACACCAGTCATACTGGATCAGAATCTGCATTTTAAAAATCTGCAGTTAAGAATCTTTAAATTTGAAAAGGATTGCATCTGATGATCTTGAAGATTTCTTCTAACTCATAGTTGGGAGTAATTCTTGGATTAGTCAGCATAGGAAATAATTATTGTATTTAGCAAAGGAAATGGTAGTAAAGAGTTTTTAGTGTAAACCACCTATGTAGATTTCTTTTCTTTTTAAAATTTATTTCAGTACAATTGTTTGATAAATATCTGTTTGAATTTGTGAAAGGTTTTTGACATAGTACCAAATTATCCCAAATTTTACCATCTTTTGTCATTTTAGGAAATTTTAAGGTGTGTTAGATGAAATGTTTTTCTTTTTTTAAAATTTCTTTTAGTGGTCCTTGAACCTTTATTAATTTAATTTATTTATTTATATGTGGTGCTGAGAATTGAACTCAGTGCCTCACACATGCTAGGCCAACCCTCTGCCATTGAGCCACAACCCCAGCCCTGAAATGTTTTTCTTAATTCATTGTACTAATAACATTGTAATATCAGCCAATTACAGATCTGAGCACACTAAGAATAACAAAATCTTTTTTGTCTTAGACAATGCAGTATTTTGATGTTTCAATGACCAGTTTAACATTTGAAGTTAATAATTCTAAGAGATTAACTGCAAAGCAAATGAGCACTTCCCTTGCTTGTTTAGAAATGTTTAATTTCAGTAGTTTCTGGCATTTAAAAATTTCTCCTGAGGGATGGAAGCATAATTTAGTGGTGGCTCACTTGCCTGCCATGCTGGAAATTCTGGAAGCCCTGGGTTTGATCCTCATTCCAGGGAAAGGAAAGGGGGGCAGAGAGATGAAAATCTCTCACACTAAGGCTAAACCACTAGCAGATGGCACATTGTAGGTTTTCACAAATTTTGTTGAAAGAATAGGGTTTTGTTTTTTTTTGATGTTTTTATATTCTTTTCAAGACTTGTAATAATCTCAAAACTTGAGTTTTTAGACAAATTTATTAACTTTCCTTGTTAACTAATTGCTGTTAGTCTTCCCCATATCAACTAATCATGATTCATTCCTTTAATTATGAAAGATATTAACCTGAAGAGTAAATTATACAGTTAAAACCAAACACTTGATAAAGAAGTAAAACTCTACTGATTAGTTGCGAAGCCCCAGTGTGTTACCCATGTCCTTTATCCCCAAAGATAGTCACTTTTTTTTTCTTTTTAAAGCCTCTGAATAGATCTTTAAACTGTAGTTTTTTGGTTTTGAAAAACTGACTAGTAAGCATAAATTTAACTGTAAAAGAAAAAGTAATACTGCTAATATTAGGTCATATCTCACTGGAGAAAGCCGGTTGAATCAAGTATCTGGGTCACATCTAGTTTCAGCTTTCTGGAGAGTTTATAAGATCTTTTTTCTGGGGAAGTCAGTGGATAGAAAATAGTGTCTGTTTCCTACCTATGGTGGGCATCTGGCAGTACCATAGTATGGATCCAAGTTCTGTGTGTTCAACCGAAGTTTCATCAGAGGAATTGGACTGCTCTCTATTTTAAATCACTGTGCCCTACTTTAAGCTTTTAGAGGCAGTCAGAGTAGACCACTTCTGTAGGTGGAATTGTATTCCCAGCTGATTCAAGGAGGAAAGCATGAAGGCAGAGAAGAAACTTTGTTAACAGGCATTATCATTCCTCTAGTTAGAAGATAATAGTGTCTAGAATGAGGAAAATGGATAATAAATACACAAACGAACGAGTTATGGTTGACATGGGAGCGTTGGGCGGGGAGATACAGAAACAAAGAACTCCACTGAAGGTTATAGAAGACATGATTAAATGGAAAAATATTATTTTGCTGCAGGAAGACTCAGTATTATAAATAAATTCTCCATAAATAAATCAAGTCCAGTATTTTCTGTTCATAAGTCATGTAATCATTCAGAACTGCTTAGACAGGTCACTATAGTTGCCTTTTCTCCAGCACTTATCCCCATCTGATATAAGCATATATTTACTAATTTTTCCCCCTCTTCTACAACATAAACTTAAAAAGGCATATGGTTATGTTCCAGCTGAGCTATATTTCCAGCCTTTTTTTTACAGTGTGAGTTTAGAGGATGATATTCCTAGTATCTAATCGTGTCTAGCCCATAGAAAGCAATCAATAACTGGTGAATGAATGAATAAAACTCTTTCTCTTGTAATCCACAGCACCTATTGTCTGTTCCTCAGATTTTTGGTCTTCAATTTGTTTAGTATCTTATAATGCTTTCTATTATTTTCTTTTAGTTCAGTGTCTAATTGTTTCATTCCTCTAAGACATTCTTTTCTGTGCTCCTTGATGGGTAGGAGTGGGACAAATGCTTTCTTTGTATACCTCAGGGTGCTAGGCAAATGGATGTAGAAACTTGTTGAATTGAATACATTTATTTATTCATAATGACTTAAATTGCTAACATCAGTTTTGTCCTCAACAAAAGGAGTATTTTTACTGGATAAACAGTATAATTCTGTATGAAAATTTTTTTTTAAAGGATGGAGACTTGGAAATGTTTTGTTGAACTTTTGGTAAATTGTAGTATTGAAAGTTGGAACTTTTGCGAGTACAATTTTATGGGTTTCTGTACACAGTTTAAATGAAATAATATCACTATTTTCAATGAGATGGATTTCTTGAAATTTTAATAAAAAATGCTATAATTATTGGGACTTAGTTTTAAAATGAAATTTTAATTCTAAATAAGTAACTTTGTAGCCCATTTAATTTTTATGTTCTATGAATATAAATATGCATATATTTTATAAATATTGTTATGTTTTTCATGCCAACTTTTTATTTAACAATTTGTGAAACTACTTCATGCTGTTTTTTTGTATTACCACTAATTGTTTTTTTTAAGTTATTGTTGATCTTCCATAAATCTCTATCATATGTTGTTTTTTGGAGATAAATTTCCAAGAACATTTCTAAAAGTAAATATTTTAATGTATGCTGAAACAGTACCATAAATGTTGAAAAGTAGAAATTTAAAACTGTGTAAAAGTTTGGTTGATTCTTTTCTAATTCATGTGGACAATTATTTATTTATTTTTCTGTTTTATTTCAGGCCAGTCTATCCATATGGGGATGGGGAAGCCTTGGCGTTGTCCTTTTTCTAGTAACCTTTGGACCCTTTGTAATATTTTATTTGGCCTTTTATATCCTCTGCTTTGTGGGTGGGTAAGTATAATCAGTGATCATTTTACAATTCCCATGTATATCTTGTTAAAATAAAAAAAAAATGATGGTAAAAAGTAGAAGTATGGTTTATTCGTGAATGCTGATTTTTTTTAACAAGCATTTTACCAAAATTTGAAAAAAAGGTAAATTTAAGATACTAAAAATGTGGGTGTTATCTTCAAAAATAATGTTTCAGTTTCTTTTTTGTGGTAATATGAAAAAGGATTTTAAAATTTATTTTGATGCTATTTATCCTTTTAAAATTGGATATTTCTGATTTATTATGATCATATATAATTTATATATCAAATTTCACAATGTAAATACTGTTTCATTAGTTAGTCTTCATATATTAGTGTTTCTCATTTTCCCTAATGAATGAGGTTAGTTTGGTCTAGAAAATTCAAATACTTGATTTTACCGTTTTATCTTCATGGTTATTTGTTTTATAGTGTTTATGTGTTCATTTAAGATAATAAACCATTCAAAGGGAAATTTTAGCCATACTTTGTTATAACTTCATATTTAGAGCACTGGTATCATATATGAATTGTAAGAAAACATAAAATATATATGCAAGTGAAATGTTTATTATTTAGAAACAAGGGAGCTTAGAGGTGAGGAGTATTTTGTTTAATGTGTGTGTGTGTGTGTGTGTGTGTGTGTGTAAGTAATTAGTTGCAGAATGAACTCTTGAGACTTCTTCTAAAGATGTCTTTTGGGACCTGAAATATATGGAGGAGTTGTTTGAGTCCAGGTTTAGAGTATTTAGTTGAATGGAACAGTATATATAACAATGGTTTGAGAGACTATATGAGATACCAAAGGGGCGGCTTCTGAATATTTATATTACCTACCACTTCTTTCAGGGTACAGGTTTGAAAGTTGTGTGTAGTTGTTTCTTATGGATATTCCCACTGATTATTGAAAAGTGAGAATTGCTTAAATTGAGCAGCTATGTGAAAGCTATGTTAAAAATGAATTTTGTGTTAGATTCAGTATTTTTATGATAATTGTCTAAGTATGGTACTGTGTACTAAAACAAAACTTATTTTAGCTAAAGGAATCAAATAATGTAGTGTTCAAAATATCTTTTTTGATAACAAGGATGATGAAAGACCTTAGAGATCTGCAACATAAATGGGCTTTCTAATTATAGTCCTGTTACAAATTAAGGGTATAGCATGGCTGCATAGTTCATGGTCTGCTTTCTCTGATTGAAAGGAGATTATTTTTCTTGAGATATTTGTCTGAAAGGCAGAGATTTCTTCTAATATTACTAATAAGCCGTGGCAAGAGTGAAGGAAAAGAATTTAGCAATATTTTCCAGTATTTTGGAAAGGTGAGAAATTGCAGCTTTAGAGACAAAGGTAGGAGCCTTTGAAAGGTAGAGAATCATTTCTCTTATACTAAATGTCATATAAAATTTGAGAAACAGGGAAAGGTCATCAGTCCATTCATTCCAAAGTCATGGAAACTTTTCTTTTTTGCTCCCTTTCTGAATCTGCTGTTTTTTGAAGGAATAATTCTATAAAAACAGTTTTGGATACTTAGAATTTCTGAAACAATTTTTTAGATAAGATGGGTCATTGGAGGTTGAGGGAAGGGTACTAAAAATATTTATATTTTTTATATATTTTTATTCTTTAGATACTGATAGTTGAACCCAGGAGTGATCTACCACTGAGCTACATCACCAACCCCTTTTATTACTTATTTTAAGAAAGGGTCCAAAGTTTGGCAAGGTCAGCCTGGAACTTGCAGTCTTTCTATCTTAGCCTCATGAATAGCTGGGATACAAAAACGCTTTAGATACTGTTTAGAGTCACATGATGAGGTCTGAAATTCCAAGTTTATGCTAAATCATAAATTGGTTTGGCCTTCTGTTCCAAACTGTGTTGATCTCATTGAAACTCACTACCATTAAAGGGTACTTTTATTTCTATTTCTACCAGCAAACCTCTGAAACTCAGCTCAGGAGGATTAGTTAATTAAGTATTCCCAGATTACTCAATTATGGGCAATGAATATCATAATTTCCTGTCAAATCTTTCTTATTTTGCCTCTCATTATGAATAATTTTCCCTTCTTTAATTTAACTCTGTATAGTTTAAAAATCTTCTGAATTTAAAGAAAAAATTGACTTTTAAGTATCAATTTTAAGGCAAATGGTGAAATTTCATAAATTCAAAATAATTTCTTAGTTTTTGTGTGTTTTCTTGCTGTGTAAGTTTTAAAAGAGGCTTTTTTTTTTCTTACTTAAAATGCAAGGTTGAAATTAATGCATTTTCCTGGGGATCTTCTTTCCCCTTTTTTGCTAATAAAACTTGTTTTAAATTCTGCATTTTACCCACAAAAAAATATTGATCATGTTTTTATTTTTTTTACAGCCATAGCTAATTCCTATTTTCAAATATATAGGAAACTTTTAAGAGAGAAAAAGATATTTTATTTTGATTTTTAACCTAGGGTACTACTGTCAGTACCATACTATGGTTGTTTCATGGCGTTGTTATAGTTGTTGGTAGTACCTGTTTTTACTTAACCCTCACAGCTGACACTGTTAATTAGGTGCTCTTTAATTTCAAACTGTTGGTTAGCTTGCCTTCCTACTGTTCCTCTGTGGGCAGAGGTTAATATTTTATCAGTCTGTTTTATGATTTTTTTTAAATTTAGGAATATGAGGTTAATTTAATATAAGTATTTTATTGTGTTTGATTCTACTCTAAATAATTAGGTAAAAGTGAAATATACAGCCAACATGAATCTTAGTAATATCATTTATAAAAGGTGGATGAAATTTACTGAAAATTTTGAGGCCAGCCTCTTAAACAAAAACAGAATCCTGATATGATCTTTTTCTTTTCTTTTTCGTTTTTTTTTGAGAGAGAGAGAGAGAGAGAGAGAGAGAGAGAATTTTAATATTTATTTTTTAGTTTTTGGCGGGCACAACATCTTTGTTTGTATGTGGTGCTGAGGATCGAACCCGGGCCGCACGCATGCCGGGCGAACGAGCTACCACTTGAGCCACATCCCCAGCCCCCTGATATGATCTTAATCTGTGTTCACCTGCCCTCCCACTCTACTTAATGTATTTATACTTGAAGATTGGTGAATAAACAGGTAGTAACAAGAAGTAGATGACTTTGAGAATCTTATTCCTTTTGGTAGTTGAGATTGACAGTATTTAATGTTTTACTGTCTTTCAATTATTGTAAGATTAGCAATCATTATCAGATTAAAGTTAATTTTCTTCCTTTATGGATTTCCAAGGCTTTGTCTTATTGGTAAATTTTAAATATAGGAAATAGTGATGACATTTAGTCAATACTAAATAGTGAACTAGTATTTATTTTACTGTGATCTTTTGTTTTAAAAATAATTAATCTTTTGAGGATAAATTGATATTATCTTTATTCTAGACTTGTTTCAAAACAAGTCATAATGTGGATCATTTTTTTCTGTATAGCACTCGTTTCTGTAGGCATTGTCAAGTTATAAATATTAGTATGTCACCTTAATTAGCACTCTAGAATTGGGTCATTTAGCCATCGATTTAGATGTCATTTGTCTTTATCCTTGTTATTAGATTCCATATTTAACAAGGACTGATTTTTCCAATTTTGAAAATGTCTGAGATTCTTTGTGATGTATGTTTGATTAAAATTTTGAAAGGAATTGTGTATTTAATATGTGATTCACAAATTGTTTATTGCTATTTTAAATTTTGTTCAAAACAAAATTGTCATTTTTTAGGTAAATTTACAGAAGGCATTTTTGATGAATAATAAAGCTATAACATCTGAAGTATATACTTGAATAGTAGATATGTTAATTTATAGAAGTATTTTTTTTAATTCTTTAATTATTTTTTTTCCTCTAGGGGTTTAGTGGTTACCCTTCTGTTTGGAAAAACAAACTCAGAAAAGTACCTAGAGCAGTGTGAACACTCATTTCTTCCTCCAACATCAACTGGGGTTCCTAAGGTAAATGGTCTAAAGGAATGTGAAAAATCTCAAAAAGTCCAATTCTTTGCAGTGATAATAATGTGATCATCTCTATGGCTTGGGAGATTTTCTTCTTATTTACTAATGCTTAGGAAATTTATGGGAGACTTTCTGATCATACTTAGAAAAGTATATTTTGAAAATTCACATTGGAAAATTTCTTAGTGTTAGATGTCAAGTGGGAATGAAAATTTAAGGAAAAGATATAAATTGGTTAGTTTAATTTGAATGTTTTCCTGCTATATTAACATTGAGTGTGAAAGAATCATCCATGTGGTTTGTAAGAATGTTAATGAATATTATGTTTTGAATACAATACATTAAATGGAAATCAGAGGGAAAGATTTGCATGTTTTTCTTTAAATTACATTGAAAAATATAACTTACAATTAAGTTATGCAATATCTGTAGTTTTAATAATTCAGCCCTACCTAATTTTTATTATCTTGAGTAGTGCTCCTTTTCTATTTAAAATAAAAGTAGGATTTTTAAAATAAAATTGAAGTTGGGTATTATGGGTAGGTTTAAGATTTGCAGTAATTTTAGTTCTTATTGTGGGGTGGGATGGTTTCATCTCATAGGAAGAGATACAAATGACTGTGAATCAATGCCCCAGTAACATAACTTTACAGTCCATTATATGCAAACATGTAGGAGATGCAGAGGTAAGTAATGTGTAATATTATTACTGAAATATAAGAATTTCATTAAATCCTACTGACTTTCATATTGACAAGCTAATCTTATAACTTTTTTTATAATCTGAATCATTATTTATAAAATGATTTATAAAAAATTTTTTCAATAATAAACTAGACTACTGTATTTTTTTTTAATATTTAGTTTTTAGTTGTAGTTGGACACAATACCTTTGTTTTATTTCTTTATTTTTATGTGGTGCTGAGGATCAAACCCAGAGCCTCGCACATGCAAGGTGAGCGCTCTGCCACTGAGCCACAACCCCAGCCCAACTGTAACTATTTTACTTAATAAACTTTATACATTTTTAAAACTTTTTGACTCTTTTGTAATAACAGCATAAAACACAAACTCGTAAAAGACACAGTCATCCTCATTAGTCTAGGCCTAAACAGAGATAGGATCGTCGCTGTCATTGTCTTACACCTCTACATCCTGTCCCACTAGAAGGTTTTCAGGATTAGCAACACATGGAGCTGTGATCTCCTATGATGACAATGCTTTCTTCTGTAATGCCTTCTGAGAGATCTTCCTGAGTCTCTTCTTGAGGAGGTTTCACTTTTTACAGAAATATGTCCATGGTGACTTCTTGGTGTGTGTATGTGTCACTCTGTGTTTATAATTTTTTTATCATAGATTTTCTCATAAGCAGATAATCACTGTGAATATTCCTTTCTATGACTATATTGGGGTCCATGTTTTCAGATTTTTAAAAGGAGCTTGTTGAGGGGTATGTGTGTGTGTTTGCAAAAGTTGCAAAAAGCCTTTACTGTGTATTTTCTGAGTTTTCTTTTTCTGTTGCTGCTTTTTTAGTTGTGCATTGTTCAGTAGGAAATACAAAATTTTCAGCTCCATTATAATCTTGTAAGACCAGCATTGTATATTTGGTTTATCATAACTGAAACATTTTGTGGTGTATTTGTGCTCTGACTTACATTTTTAATTTAGTTTCCCATTTCCCTTTACCTTATTCCCAGGCTGCTTTTATTTCTGAAAGCTAAGGAGAAGTAGAGAAATACATTTTCTTTAGTTGCTTAAAATTATCCTTAAATAAAATCAATATCAAAACACATTCATTTGGCAGCTGGTGTACTATTGGGGGTTTTGAAAGGGGGGGTAAAAGAGGTAGAACTGTCCAATAAAGACAGTTATTAACTCGACTCCCTGAAACAATAACTTTATAGTTTTAAAGTCTCATTAGAATATCGCAATGATATACCTGTACATTTTCAATTTTCCCACATTCTAAATAGTGTTTTCTTTTCTTTCTTTCTTTTTTTTTTTTTTTTTTGCCGGGTCTGGGCGTGTAACTGGGTGTTGAACTTAGGGGCACTCAACCACTGAACCACATCCCCAGGCCTATTTTGTATTTTATTTAGAGACAGGGTCTCATTGAGTTATTTAATATCACGCTTTTGCTGAGGCTTTCTTTGAACTCACTATTCTCATATCTCAGCCTCCCTAGCTGCTGGAATTACAGATGTGCATCACAGTGCCCAGCTAAATAGTGTTTTCTAATTTAATTAAATTTTTGAAGCTAATAAGAGATTTTTTTCTGTGTGCCTAGTTTTGTTATCTTGAGAAAAGTGTTTGATTTATATTAGAGTCTCAAGAAATAATTTATTGAATCGAAGATGAAGAAGGGAAATGACAATGAGTATTCAATTTGAAGCCAACTGGAGAGATTTTAAATCACTCCTTAAAATATTATGGTTTCCTTTAAGTGCTTAGAAGAAATGAAACGGGAAGCCAGGACTATTAAGATTGATAGAAGATTGACGGGTGCCAATATAATTGATGAACCTCTCCAGCAAGTGAGTTTCAGTATGTGGTATTTGAATTCCATATATTATATACTAGGTGTATTTCTTTTGAAAATACTAAGGTATACCTTTTTGCTATTGAAATAATGTTAAAAGTTTATGATAATGCTATCCTTGACATTTGTATGTAAAGATATTGCTTGATTTACTAAGCACCTGTTATGAGGTGATTTAGTTAGTATGAAAACTTTTTGATTGAATTTGCATTTAGAGAAAAAATTTTGTTAACATTAGATATTTCTGATATTTTTTAATCTTAAAGGTATTACTTTTCCTGATGAAGAAGCTTACTGGGTTTGGTAAATGAGATTTTTTTTTTCTGTTTTATTTTTTAAAAGTGTAAATACCTCGTTAGGCTGAAAAATGTTCAAAAATTAGAGTTAAGTAAAAAATTATTTACCCCAAAATATTTTTTGTTGATGTTTTTGATTATATATTCAGTATAAATAATGTGTACTTTAAATTTTTAACATTTATTTGTAAATGAACCCATATTTTATCTAACTTGCAAAAATTATACATTGAATTGTATTATTTGCTATTTATAGGCTAAGATGGTTGGCTATATCAAATGTATTATTTTAGAACTAAGTTTAATCCTGTATCTTTTTTTAAAAATTATACCTGCAGTGGATTTCATGATATAATCTTAGAGAAACGTTTTTTGAGCATTATTTTACATCTCATTTTATCAAACTGATTAAATCTCTTTGTTGTATTATAGCATTGAAAAATCTGTTTTTTCCACGAACTCTTGTCTACCGAAATTTGCACAAAGTTTGGCTATAGATAATGTTTTAAGTTTTTGAAACATTGGGACAGTAGATGAGTTGAAATACCATAATAACTTTAAAATTCATGAAATGTTTTTTAGCATGTTGATTTTTTTTTTCATAATGAAGGCAGGTACTTATTACCACAATTTATGATACAGAGAATAGATATAAATTGCCAGGTAACTATTTTAATTTGTCATTGCTATTTTTAAAATTCTAAAATACTGTATTTTTCCGAATATTTTCTTATTGGTTATCTAGTTTTCTTTGGAGGATTTTAGACAATGTTGATCCTAAAAGTTTATTTTTTTCCCTAATATTTTTTTACAGGTTATCCAGTTTTCCTTGAGGGATTATGTCCAGTATTGGTATTACACACTAAGTGATGATGAGTCTTTTCTTCTTGAAATTAGGCAGACTCTTCAGAATGCTCTCATTCAGTTTGCTACTAGGTAAGATCACTGCATTTTATTTATGCTGAAAAATTTATATATATTGTTTTCTCCAGTAGGGAAAATACCTTTTAAATTGGGGTGGGTATTTTAATTAAAAGGTAAGTAAAACAGATTATTATTTTGCAGTAACTCCCAGATTATAGAACTGGAACCTATAAGATTTTTTTTTTTAGGGGGTGGGAGTGGGGGTGGGTGGGAATATTGGAGATTGACCTCAGAGGCACTCAAACACTGAGCCACATCCCCAGTCCTATTTTGTATTTTATTTAGACATGGGATCTCAGTGAGTAACTTGGCGCCTTGCTTTTTGCTGAGGCTGGCTTTGAACTTGTGATTCTCTTGCCTCAGCCTCTGGAGCCACTGGGATTACAGGCGTGCACCACCATGCACAGCAACCTTTAAACTGCCCTAGACTTGAGGATTTATAGAAAGTTTGTCTTGATTAAGCTGTACTTTCCATCTCTTTGCCAGTTTTTTTTTTTTTTTGCATACATAGTCTTCTCCATAGGTTGCATTTCAGATCTTTTACCATTTATTGAAAATACCTTCTCTCTCCTCTTCCATAGATGCTCTTATTTTATCTGAGTGTTATAGAAAAAATTAGTTTTGGTATAACTGCTATACCTCACTGTAGTTTCAGTATAACTGTTCTTTAACAGAATATTGCTAGCAGAAGTCCTCTTAGAAACTTCTCTTGTGAGATATACTAAAATGCTCACTTTACAAACCCATCTGTGTGCTGCTTCCATATGGCAAAAGTATTATACTTAAACTACTTGCTTTTTTAGTGGCAAAGTGCCATTTCATATATATTAAAATTAATAATGACTTTTATTTTTATTTTTTAAGGCTTTTTAATTGGTAGCATTATATGAAAGGGAAAATGCTTCAGAATTATTTTGTTTTGAAAGAATTTTATGTTTGAATGAGTTTGAAGACTTTTTTATTAAAAGATTTTACTACCCAATACACAGATTGATTTTCCTACTGTATTCTTGAGGTATACTCTTTAAAAGGTAAAACTTGTATTCTCTAGCCAACCCCTTTTCCTCTATACTTAGGTTTTTATAATACAATCTTGTGATTCTGACAGTGCTTAAGAATAGAACTTTGTCCGATAGCTCTCACTGTTTTCTGATCTGTGTGCACAAGTATTTTTCAGCTTATGCTGCCCAGTCAGAACTTTCCTCTATAACTGTGTTGACTGACCCTAAAGCTTTAGATTGGGTAGGCAGGTAGAGGGATGGAATAGAATATATTTCTCAATCTGAGCTTATTGGGGAGCCTTGCATAAGACTTTTGGTTTGAACAATCATCTTAATTATAAAGAGAGTTTTGTACTTCTTCCTCATGATTCATAGCAAGTGTTTTTAGACTACCAGAATTATAGATGCAGACTCACTATGGAACATGGAAAACATAATTGGTGTAATCAAAGAAGATCAGAAATCAGATTTTATCTCATTTCATTTGCATAATGTTGAATCTTAAATTTCTTCAGAGAACTCTTCTTTATTAATTGTTTTCTATAGTAACACTGTCCTAATTTTTTTTCAAAACACTAGAAATAATAAGAGTTCCTTATTCATGTATTTGACTCCTTAAGAGTATATTAAAATGTCAGAAATTTTAGACCTGGAAAGAGATTTGAACTAGTAATTTGAAGACTTGGGTTTGTTTTCTGACTTTACCACTTAACTGTATTTTAAACTCTTTGAACTTTAGTTTTTCTTATATAAAATAAGTATAATAATACATGCCCTGTTCTGTGTTCCTCACTGGATTATTGTCAGAATCCAATTTATCTATTCTTTCCATTAATATTTTGAGCCTACTTTGTACCAGCCAGGTGCTAGTGATACTGTGTTGAATAAAACAAAGTTACTGCTCAATGGAATGAAGTGAACATAACACATGTGAAAGTGTTGCAAAAATTGTGAAGGAATTCAGAAATTTAAGTTATTTTGCCATCCAATAACCAAAATTTCAAAAGTAGAGAAGCTGAGGTCCAGAAAAGTTAAGTTTAATGTTACATAGTGCATTAGAGTTGGAATTGAAATAAGATTGTTCTTTACAGCTGGTGTTCCTTCTCTCATTTTTTATCATATATATTATGATCCAGATTGTTCATCTGTTTCCTGTTTTTTTTTCCCCCTGTCAGTTCAATGATTTCCCTGTTTTTCATCCCATAGGCACTTTTTTCTTCTCACTTCGTGTCTTAAGCCCCCTACCTTATTTTCTATAACATTCTAACATTTCTATACTATCATGTGTAATATTTAGGTGATTATCTGGAAAGCCAGGTTATTTCCATTTTGGATTAATCTGAATTTATGTATTTGCTTGGCCATTGGTCTTAAGTTTTTGGCAAACTATAAAAGCTGATAATAACTACTTTAAAGAGTTTATTGAGCCTAAAAATCAATATCATGTAAATCCCTTAGCATACAACAAGACTTAATAAGTATTGTTGGTTTCTTCTTTTTCTCTGAATGACTTTCCTATGTAGGATTTTTCTATTACTGCAAATATACCAATTTACCAGAAGCTCCATGACTGTTTCCTATGGCAATATTAAGAAAATTAGGTTTGTTTACAAAATCTTTCACATCCTTCTCTAATCCTTGTTCTGTGCTTGTATACTGTATGCACTGTGGAGCATGACAGGAGGATGTTGTCACCCTTATATTCAACTTACAATTGACTTCCTCAGTCAATTGATCCAACTTACAGTGTTGTATAGGGCTTTAAATCGGGGGTCTACAAATCTGAAAATGTACACAAAACAATGTTGTTGTTTTTTTTTTCTCCTCAAGGAGTACTTGCATAGGTTCAATTTTTAATTTGTTTTTAAATTTATTTTATAATACTGGTGATTGAACTAGTACACTGTACCTGAACGATAAACCAGCCCTTTCTGTTTTTTGAGATAGGGTCTCACTAAGTTGCCGAGGCTGGCCTCAAACTTGCAATCCTCCTATCTCAGTCTCACAAGACACTGAGATTACAGGTGTATGCTACCACACCAAGCTAGATTTGATTTTTTAAATGATCCAGTGAATCTAGAAGAGATTTAGAATCACCAAATTTGTTTATATTTATTCATCAATTTTGAGAAATAAACAATGTCAACATAAAACTAAGTAATAAATTTTGAGTAGAAATGGGGAATAAAGGTTATACTGTTAGTCTGAAGTCTTGGATTTGAACTTTAGCTCTATTACTTATTAAGCTCTGTGACCTGAAATGGGAGAAACACATACATTCTTTAACTCTGATGATAATAACCCATATCTCCTTATAGAGTTGTTGTTAGGATTAAATGACATCATTTGTGAAAGAATACTTCATAGTGATAACACCTTATATCAGCATTAGTACCTGTTATTTCAATAATTGTTTGGGGAAGGAAACTTTCTCTGAGTATCTTTGGATTTCTCTTTTCTGTGAAATCTGGAATCACAGACTGAAACTCTTTGGTTGAGGTGAATCTTTGATAATATATATATATTTTTATTTCCCCTTCAAATGAGATATTATGACAGGACAGGAAGCTCTGAGCTATGTGTCAGAATATTTGTATTAAAATTCCATATCTACCATTAAGTTAGTGTACCTAGATGAAAATTCTCAAAATCACTGTGAGACAATAACATTAGTAATTGTAGCAAACTCAGAGTTGTTGAGGGACAAATGAGATGATATGGGATCATATCATAAACTGATAAATGACGTTTTGAACAATTTATGCCTCGGTCAATTGATCCATAATGACTGCTCAATGAATAGTGATATTGCTATTATTGTTATTATTTACTAAATATCTAGGTTATATAGACAGATCATATGACTTTATCTTAGCTTTTTTAATGTGGAAAGGGACTGGCAGAGAAGGCAAAATTAAAGCACATGAAATGAAGAGGAAATAAAATACTTATGTATGATGTAATGAAAACTATTTGTCATGTAGAGATAGAGTGAACTAGAGAAACTGATGAAGGAGACCTCATTTGGGTTAAGGCTAAATATAGCCTTAAAGCATAGATACATTAAGATAGAAATGAAGGACATGTTATGAAATAAAAATAATACAAGCACAGTTTTAAGAGGATTTTTTTAAAAAAAGATGATGTAGTAGAAACCATAAGGAGATTCAAGTGAATAAGGAATCTTGTTTTTACTCTTCAGAGTGAAATACAATTACAAAATCTCTGCATTGCTGCTCCCTTTAACCCCAAGTTTAGCAAAAAGAACATAGATTCTGATTCTACTGTTTCTTTGTGAAGGGTTTTCCCATGGGTGTAAGGAACACATTTGTGTTATTTAAGATTTACTCTTTCTCTTACTACCTTATGCTATAACAATAATGAAAATAAGTGGTATATTCCTAGAATTGTCTAAAAGGCAAACACTACTTAAATAGTGTATTTTACAATTAAGTTTTATACTTCTTTTGCCATTTCATGTTCTCTGTCATTTAAAAAACTTATCTTAAAATGGACATTACTCCAAAAGATAGTTATTGTCATATTGGTTACAGTAGACCAAAAACAATTAGAAGCCATCTAATTATTTAAAAGAAGGGGAAATAACTTGATTTTTATATCTATAGAATAGATGAGGGGATGATAATTATGTATTCATATAATTCACAAATCATACACTTTACCCACTGAAATAGGTCTTTTAATATATTCACAGAGTTGTTCAATATTTGTCATTTTTAACCTCACAAATCAATTGAAGAATATTTTAATGACCTCACAAAGAAACCTTATATATCCAATATCATTCACTTCTGTATCACCTCAGGTTCTGGCTCTGGGAAACTACTTTGGTTTTCATCTCTAAATTTGTCTATTTTGGGCATTTTATATGAATAAAATAATGTGGTCTTTTGTGAGTGGTTCATTTCAGCATTTTAGCATCATGTTTTTGAGGTTCATCCATGTTACAACATTAATACTTACTCTTTTTTTTTTATCCTTGAATAATCC